CAAGTTTTCAGTTGGAAATTGTTTTGGTTTACAACAATAACAGGCAATTTATTCTCTTTGCTACTTAGTCTTATATATTTCCAAATATATGGACTGGCTACCTTACTTCTTGATCAGAATTAGTTGAAAATCCATCCATTGATTATCTGAGCTACATATACTATAACCTTTTTATTATTTCAATCCCTGCCATTGTTGTTTTAAATTGTGCATGAATTATCTCATTGTTTTTAACATCTATACATTGCCAATTTGCCATCTCTTTGTTAATACTTTATTGTCTAGAACATACATCCTCTTGCCCCTTGTTGTCATTATTCCATTTGCTCTCTTCTCCAGATTTCAGATCAGTTCTAAACTATACCTGAAGTTTGGTCCATTTCCCTAATGAAATTTGTGTAATTTTTATTTTATTCTCTTTTCATGTCATCATGTTCTGACCATAATCAAATTTTTACTCATTTCATATTAAGGATGTGCTCTAACTCCTTTTTTATTTTTTAATTAATAATAAAACATAAGAAAATAAGAAGATGCCATGTTGTTCAGTTAATCCTTTGTAGTTCATTGTAAGAATGGTTGTCATTATTAGTTGAAATTTGTAGGGTTTTGTCATATCCATTCTCTTTAGTTATAAGCTTCATTGTCAATTAAAACTAATGGTTCATGAGATTTTTATTAAAGTGACTAATGTTTTGTCCTCATTTAAAGGAATCGTGAAAAAATACATATTCAATTTATGAAGTTTAAATGTCAATTCAAAATTTAAAGGGAAACAATGTTGAATTAAAAATTATTAATATGATTTACTAAAATTGTAATCAGTAAAAAGTTATATTTAATTTACTTAAAAATATTTATCAGTGTTAAATTAAAGGCAAAAAACGGGGTTGGTGTAATTTATGACCAAGTTGCGGTAGACTTGTTACTTTGGCAAGCTTCAAGGTAATGGAGCATAATTTGTCCTTCTTTTAAAAGAGTAAATCAAACTGATTGCTACCCTCCCTTTGTATGATTTTTCACCTGTAAATTTCTCTTGATGAAAATTCAAAGCAAACATAAAGGCAACGCTTGAAATAAGAGGGAAGGTGACTGTGATTTATGCAAACCAAGGGGCATTTTAGTTTAATTTACTACTTCTAATATTAAATACTTAATACATCTATTAAGTTTAACTACAACATCAAACTTTCTTATTATAAAATAAATTTAGTTTACTTTAAAAAAATAAGATATCAGTGATAAAATTGTCTAGTTTTTATTAGATAATTTTTTTATCAATTTATAACAATTCAAGCATAATAAACAAATAACTCAATTTATATTAATGAAAAATTAATATCATAATATCTGTAAATAAAAATTACAAAACCATGGATACCAAAAACAAAAAATAAATAAATTACAAAACCATAGCTGTAAAAACTTGTTGCCTTATTTTATCAAAATGAATACACAAGGATAACTACTCTTTCTAGACTATTATATTTACCCTTCATGATTTGTTGCTGTATATAGACATTCTTAAAATAAAAAAATAATAGAAGAATTATGATAATTGTTTAAATGAAAACCAATGTAAAATATTTATTTCATGAAATGAAAAGTTGATTTATAGAGATGCAATAATTTACTGCCTTACTATTTTTTCTTTTATAAATAATTATTTCTGTGTGTTGGGGTGGGGGTGTGCGGTGCGTGCGTGTGTGCATGTGTTTTCATTAACTCATTAGTTTGTGTTCTGGTTAAAATTTACTGGTTACATTTGGAGTTTTATTTTGGGCATGATATGAGAAAACATCATTTGAAAACAATACTGGACAAACTAACCAGCAAATTAAGCATTAAACTGAAGCATGTCAATAAAATGAAATAAATGCAAACAAACCCACTTGTTCACTAGCCTCTGTTTCCAAAGAGAACCAAGTGATAGAAGTCTATTGGTGCAAAATGGATCAAATGTCTCATCTGAATCTAAGTGAATCTTTATGTAATTGGAGATTAAAAGAACTTCCCTTGGGTATGGCCAAAGATGTCATACGAACTTTGCCCACTTTTAATTTCATATTGCAACAACTACTCGTTGAACTACTTGGATCTGAGTTTGGTAGAAAAATAGAGACTGGTTGTATGCAAATCATACCTTGATACATACTACTAGTTTCACTTAAAAGTTTTCTGTTTAACTTACATTCAAGTCTCTTAAACTGTCAAGTGTCAATTGTCAATCCTTTTATCCTAAGGTACCACTGTTATTATAGATGGAAAATTTTACAAGGAAAATTAACTACCTTTAAGTACAACTGGCTGCACTTGATTTTTAGTTGTCTCTATGTTAACAGCCTTAATTAGCAAGGGAGGTCTCAGGTAATTGTTATGTAATAATAAATAGTAAGGGAGAGTGACTGTAATGTTGAAAATAAAGAGGGGATGTGCTTGTCATATGGCCATAACGAAGTGGACCTTGCCGTGAGATTGACTGTAGCCACTAGGAAAGGAAACCATTAAGGACACTTGCAGCCTAGCAGCAAAGAGGAAATACTTTTCTTTGACATTAACTAGTTATAGGGGGTGATCAGGTACATTCTTATATTGCTTTTAATATATATGATTTTTCAGGTCATTTCTTTGGCCCCCAATATCCATTCCTGATTATGCTCATTCCCAGGGGAGATCCTTGCTAAAGGCTTTTGTAATTAGGTTAATTATTGCGTCTTTGTGGTGTGACTGATATACTCTGGATTTGCATTTTTGCTCTAGCATACTAGTTATTTCTTAAATCAAAATGCATGCAATTTCATGTGTCAATTTTCTAGGGCAGTAGCAGTGTTATTTAATTTGTGCTTCTTCAATATATAATACATTTTACTTGATTTGTATCTTATTTACTAGGAAGAAGAAATGAGAAAGGGGGAGTTGGAAGCAGATGCAGATAGGATGATGAGAGAGTACAGAGCTCAACTAGATGCTGAAAGGGCTCGCAAACTTTCCCAAGGAAGCAATCACTCTGGTAGTAAGTCTAAACATGCTAAAGGTATGCGTGGTAAAGTTGCAGAAACTTGGTGGTTTTGCCAATGCTTTCCTGTTCCAAGCTTCTAACTGTGACTGTTGCATATCATTCTACTTTGCAGATAAGAGGGACAAAATTTCGAAGAAGCGCAGCAGCAAAAAGAGAAAGGTGTTTTTGATTTCTAAAACTTTTACTACTTAGATTTACTTTTCCCTTGAGAAGAACTACTAAGTTGAATGTTAAATTTGATGTTTTTGTTTTCTATTTGAATGATAGTGTAACTATCCCTTTAACTTCAATGTGACTATGAGCTGATATCTGTCTTTCCTTTGGATTAGAATGAGAAATGTTAAATTCTGCAAGTTTTAATGTCCCACATGTAGGGCTGGAAGAGAGTCAACTTAGCTTGTCTAAGTGAAGTCATTGGTTAAAACCTTCAACTTATGTCGGAAGTAGTTAAAATCATTGTTTTAATTACTCTAGGTTGTTTATTATTTTGCAAAACAATTAACTCCTTTTTAATTATTGTAGCTAACTGATTCAAATCACATGGGCTTTGGTTTTATGTTAATTGTGAGATGAACAATGCTAATGAGCCATGCAATGTTGATTAACAGTTGATTTATCTGATCATTTTGGTTATGGATGTTTAGTTTTTTATGGCATCCTCATTACTCTACTTTTGTAGCATTCAAGAAGATCTTCTGCATCGAGCTCCTCTTCGTCATCCTCATATTCATCCAGTAGTGATGAAGAAGAGAGAACGTCAAGAAGATCCAAGTCCAGGTCTAAGAGATCAAAGAAGGAAAAGAAGCCCAAGTCAAGAAGGAAGGATTCTGGAACCGATAGTGAAGATGATGGTCCAGTTCGCCTTTCAAGATTCTTTGGGAGCGTCAAGAGTTAGTAGTGTCGTTGAATACTTGGTTGTGTATCATAAAATTGTTCTGCAAATAGTAAATTATGATCAGCTTTACTTTCATGATCAACGTATTTTTTCTTCACAGATTTGTAATTTTGTATGTCATATTATGTGTTCTCTTTCAAAAAAATTATCGTCTTGGGTTAATCTTTGTGTGATGGAGGGACCGTTTTGAGTTTTAACGACTATAAATATTGCTCGATGCTTAACGGAACACTCCTGAACGAAGAGGAAATAATACTGGGTGTAAATTTTCTAGTGTACAGGAAAAGAAGAGGGAATATTACACGAATTTGCAGTGATTGATTATTCTATGCGTGCTTAGTTGAACTGCATCATCCTTGAACTAAAGTGCAAGTGGCACAATTCCTTTAGTTTTGGAACCTCTGCTCGGTTGCTGTTATAATATGAGCCTGAAACGAACGATGCTTCCTACGTGAGAGTGGTGGCCTTAACAGTAGAAATGCTGGCCATGGATAATGGAACTGAATGTGACGGAAGTCAAAGTGATCGAAAAGAAATGGTTCAACCCCCAAGAGTTTACCTCGACACACTAGGTTTATTCTGACAGTGTTTTCAATGACAATATCGATGAAGGATAAAAAAAAAAAAAAAAACAAGGTTTCGAACATTGGCTGCTTAGCTACCAATTAACTCCATATCAGTTGAGATCTAGGCTTAAAATCTTACTAAAAGTTCAACCACTGCAAATCAGAGATCTGGAGTCTAATAAACCGGCCAATTCTCCGAAACGGTAAAGAAATCTAAAATAAACAAATAATATAGAATATTGATTTGTGGGTCAATCTCTATTTTGCATTGTTTATTTTTTACTAGTTGAACCATAAACCACCATTCCTTACGCCCCACCGGTTAAACTGATTTTTAATTGCTAATATAAAAACATGTTTAAAATGTTATACATGCAAAACAGATCAAATAACCTTTAACGTGGTTCTGTTTCAAAAAAATAAAAAAAGTTGAAAAGAATTTCAAACGCACAAACGCACAAATTTGAGAAGGAAAAAAAAAAAGATTAATCAGAAGTTGGCTAAAGCCAATGAATTGGACAACAATATGAAGCAAATAAGCCAACAATACAAATACCTTATGATTGTGTTCCAGTCTACCAATCATGCCTCCAATGGAAATAATTCAAATTCCAAGGTCATCTGGTTTCAGATGACAGATATATATACACAAAGAAACCTCTTAATCTATGGACACAAACATCACACGTTCCAAACCCAATGACAACATTATTACAGTATCACTACTGCTGATACTCAGGGTTAAATGCTAGAGCCTCTCGGTATATCAGTTCTTTCATCTGTTCCTCTGTTAAAGCATGTTGTTCAAAGTCAAAGTTGAAGGGAGTCGTGCACACAGGTTCATCACTGATGTCATGCAGAGATGTTAAGTAGGGGTGTGCCAGTGCACCTTCAACTGCAAAACAAAGTAAATGAAACAAAGTACGGTTTCATTAGGCCTAAATTTTGAGGGCAAGCTTTAAGTGTTCCACTGTTACTTGTGCAATGCAACTTAAGATTGGGCTCAAAGTGCAAGCAGTAGTGAGAACTTAACAACTATGTTCCAAACAAAGTCTCACTACAGCTGAAAATCAATTAATATTCTTGTTTGCCTTTGCTTAGCAAAAATATGCTAAATCAACCAACCAGATATAAGTTGGTTTTCATTTCAAAATTAATTTCTGAAAATTTGTATGTTCTAGTTTCTATTCTCCTGGACAGGGAAGCATAATTAATAACTTGATTTCAAGTAGACAAACATAGAACTCCTCATGAAGCCCCGACTTGCGAGGGTAGGGAAAATAATTTGATTTCAAGTAAAAAAAAAAAGGGTTAAAAAGAAGGAAATAATATCTCCATCGGAAGGAAAAAAAAATAAAATCGGTTGGATAAATCAATAATAGACATTCAATGATTGACAGAATATCTTGAATAAATAAAATCATGCACAAACAATTTCTGAAGGATATATACATTAATACAAATCTGGCATCCAAAAAGCAAAATTAAAAGAATTTATGGTGCAACCAGTAGATGCAAATTATCCACCCATGATTGAGGAATTGAATAGGTGACTTTTAACAACTACTGATGATGCCAAAAAACATAAAAATTATGAAGTATGCATATTGATATTATTGAATCTAACCACAAAATACAGAGCCTCGGGCAATGAAAGCTTACCAGTAATCCTTTCTCTAGGATCAAAAGTTAACATTCTTTCAACAAGATCTATAGCTTCAGGATGAACACTTGGAAACTTTTCTTGGAAAGATTGGCGGCGGTAAAGAGGTAGTTGCCTAATGTATCTCTTGGCATTTTCATTTAGAAACCCCAAATCAGTTTCCGATGGGGTGCCAATCAGCTGAAAAGTATAAAACATATCAGTTATACCGATTCACTGGCTACAATACAGACTGATGTAGAAGGTGAACTACATTGACCATAAGGTTTTAAAAAAATAATAACAAATAAAATACAGATCTGGGCATGAATTTCACCAATTTGGTTACAGGGTCTGACTGTATTCGAGAATGGACATAATATAGTGAAACTTAACCTGAATTATAATCCAGAATGACACTGCAATAGAATTTCAATTCACTTTAATGATGTGTTATTTCCAAATCTAGCAGGTTAATCATTTCAACCATTAAAACAAACATAAATCAATAATTCTTGAACTTCAAATACCGAAGACAGATAATAAGTTACCTCCATAAGTAGACGCAACTGATGAACATGATCTCTGCCAGGAAATAAAGGCTTTCGATCCATCAGTTCCATGAAAATACAACCAACAGACCATACATCAATTGCTGCGGTGTAATCAGAAGAGTTTAACAGAAGCTCTGGTGCTCGGTACCATCTTGTAACGACATATTCAGTCATAAAATCAGTCTCCGAGGTGACACGAGCCAGTCCAAAATCACAAATTTTTAAGTCACAGTTGGCATTCAGGAGAAGGTTGCTAGGCTTTAAGTCCCGATGCAGAACATTTGCAGAATGTATGTACTTCAACCCACGAAGGATCTGATACAGAAAATACTGCATGGAAAAAAAAAAAGTTTATGATAGTGAAAAGGATAAGATTTACTAAACTCTGCAAACAAAAATAGATAATGAGAAATTTATCCAATCCTTTCCTCAGGTCATGATGCTTAAGAAGTCCTCTACTACAAAAGTGTCTTAAGTTGGCAGTACTGCTGTAATAGGAGTGTGAGAAAATGTGTTGTGCAAGTTGGTAATGAAGTCAAAATAGGTATGAAGGTGAGGGAAAGGAACACGAAGAAAAAAGTAACTTCTCCTATGCATCCTAAATTTATATATTCACTTAAGTCCGTAGAACAGAATTTGCCACACCTATAAAAATGTCAAGAAAGACTTTCCACAGAATATACAGCATGTGGTAATGTGATCACATGGTCATACAGTTAATACAAACATGGGCATAATTAAAAAGGAGCATATTTAAATATGTACCTGACAGTGCTCCTCTGATAACCCTTGATTTGAACGAATGATTTGATAAAGGTCAGTGTCCATTAGCTCATATGCAATGTAAACATCATTGAATGCCTCCCTTTGAGGTGGTGGCACTATATCCCTTATTGCAACCACCTACACAATAATTACAATAGGTAAAGCAAACAAAAGAAATATTACTAACGCTCCGAAATTTTGGCATTACCCCTCATAAAGTTATTTGGACTGTAGTTACCGGGTACTCCACAAGCGACAAATGAAATAAACAAAGCGTGTAACATACATCTTGACAAGCATCTAAAGTCAAATGTCAATCCATAAAAACATGCATTAAAGCAGGGCAGAAATGGAAAAGAACTGCATCAAGATTCAGGATAAAGCGACAAACAAATCAATGATTGCAAGGATACCAACAAAAACAAGAATTTCTCATTGATTTTCCTTTTGGACACAATTTTGTCGGTTCTGAGCGAACCGTTAGTCATTAAGATTAAGAATTATCATTACTACATCTTGGCACTAGCAGCTAATTATCAGAGGCAACAAGTTTACTTCTGGTAAGCTAAGTACAGGCCACATAAGTATGATATATAAGATTAACAAGTGCCAAGTACGCCCTATCATTGAGCAATTATTATTCAGTCAATAGATTCTAAACTGAAAGCTTTTAATCCCCCCCCCCATCTAATTAATAATTAATCAAGTCTTGTGGAGTTTCTTGGCACAAGTAGGTAAATAGATAGGGGCGTGTTAGAGATATATAAAACCATTAATGTAGCCTCACCTAACAACTTAAATTTTTGGGTTGAATTAGTTCTTTATAGGCTGAAAAGGAACACATTCTATGGATAAAATGGTTGATTGAATTTGAAGCACTCAAACACATAAATCAGGATCTAATGAACAAGTTAAATCTCAAAACTGAATGGCCAGATAACCACAAAACAAAGGCAATTCAATTCAGTTCAAGCAAAATTAAAAAATAAAATTAAAAAGTAAAAAGCAATCATCATATCACTCACTAACGTTTTCATGATCCATATGGCGAAGCAGCTTGATTTCACGGAGGGTCCTCTTGGCATCAATTCTGTTGTCAAAAGCATTAGCAATCTTCTTGATGGCAACATGCTCATTCGTTTCTGAGTTCAGAGCCGAACTATTATTCATACCCAAAAAATAAAAATAAAAATAAAAAACAAATTTTTATTAAAAAAAAGCATATAATAAAATCAAAGAAAACATAAAAATGTAAACTTGGGGTTCGATTTGATTGTACCAGACGATGCCGTAAGCGCCTTTGCCGATTGGCATGATGGGGGGTCTGTATTTTGAGGTTACTTCAAATATGTTACCGAATATGTTGTATTGAATGAACCTGCCACCGTGGCTAAGTGTCGCCGGAATATTCTCCATCCCCATCGCCGCCGGCTGCTGCTGCTGTTGAGGGTCGGGTTGCTGCGGCGGAGGCGCCACCGCATCCGACATGACGGTATCAGCTGGCGGAGCAGCTCCTCCTCCTTCCATTCTCTTCTATCTAAAATTGGGTTTTTTTTTTTTTTTTTTTTAAGAGACAGAGAAAGAGAGGGGTTAATGGGTATTATGAATAAAGATCAAGTTATGAATAATATGTGAGGTTGATAACAGTTATGCTGATGATGATGCAATTGCAGTGTTTAAGATTTGAAGTAGAACCTGATTTGTGTCGTGTGAGGCGTTTTGGTCAAACGGATCTGTACTATCTCCCCTAACTTCTGCATAAATTGTCATCTCTCTCACATCTGTCAACCCTTTTTCATTTTATTCATTCATTTTTCTGTGATTTCCAAAGCTCATTTTCTTTTTTTATTTTCTTATTATATATATCATTGTTAACCAATGTGTTTAAGACAATGCTTTCCTTTATTAATAATAGTTATCGAAGCAATTTTCATTCCTTAAAAAGGAAGGTATTTAGTGTTTTTATTTATTTATTTAGTAATATTAAATGCTTTCATTTTCATTTAATATTTTTTTTACTTTAATGCCATAATTAATTCTACTCAGTTAACAAATGTTCTTTGCAACCTTTTTTTAGAGGGAATGCATTTGCCAATTTGCCATGATATAAATATATATATAATTTGGGTTCAATGGCGTAGCCATGTTATATTTAGATTGGATCTGAGTTTCAATTATATTTCAATAAATTTTATTATTATATATAATTATATAAATAATTATAACTGGGCCTTAGCTAAAATTATAAATTGGCCCTAGCTAAAATTGTAATGGACGAAGATTTAGAGCTGGTTTGCGTGTATGACCAGATACCATATTGCTTTTTTCTTAATTTTTTTTTTTCTTTCATCTTTTTCCATTTGAGGTTTTTTCTAACCTTTTTTTTCTTATTCGCACTCACCACCCGGAACTCAGCCATTCTATGACAAGGTATGATGTTTCGTTCCTTTATCAAGATTTTACGAATACATGTTATTGGCATTGGTAATTATATTATCCGCTAAAGGGGAAATTGATTTACATTTTTTAACCTTGTAAAAGAAAAAATTCTTTGTCTTTGCTTGCTATAATTGTTTATTGGATGTTTTTAACATGAGTGAAATTCATGCCCCTTTCTTTTCATTCACAACTTTTTTTTGTTTGGTTGTAGTTATTGATTTTATTTCTTTTAAAAAATGGAGTGTTGTTTTACGTTTATCTTTTTTTTAATTATTTTAATGTAGAGCTACAATTACTATTGGTAATGGAATTAAATTGTTTCTTATGTTATTTGTATTTGATTTCACAACAGAAATGAGAATTTTGGCGATTAATCAGTGGAAACTGTTTAAGAGAAAAATCAATAACCATATATGTATATATATGGAGTTTGAAAATTTCTTATACATATTCATTAACAACTTCTTCTCTTTTTTTTTGTATTTTTAAAATATCTAAACATTGATTAAATGATTTATGTGGATCTAATGTCATTTAAATGATTTTAAACATTTGTCATTGATTGTTCCATGTTTTTTTTTAATTGTGAAGTTTGTTGTCCCTCTACGTTAATGTTCTTCACAGGTCACAGCTAGGGGTATAAATAAAGTTAGGCTAGACTTTGGCTTTGATAGCCTAAACCTATATAAAATATTTAAAGCCTATACTGGCCTATTAGCCTATTAAAGGCTTGATTTATAGGTTTGATCTGACCTTTTATAAAAAACTAAAAAACTTAATACAGCTTGTAAGGCCTACCAAGTTGCAAACTAAAGTTTATAGACCAAAACTAAATTAAAATATAAAAAGATAAAATTCACAAATATCACATGAGATAAATTTTCATTAAGATCACATGAAATAAATTTTTATTAACATCACATGAAATAATGTTCATAAAGCTCACATAAAAATATTCATGAAAATTTCATATATGTATATATACATATAATTTGTATTTTCTTTACTAATTTAATTTTATATTATATTTTAAATTATAAATAAATATTTATTATTTGCTAAAACAATATTTAGTGGATATTATGAATAGAGAACAAGTTATGAATAATATGTGAGGTTGATAACAATTATGATGATGATGCAATTGCAGTGTTTAAGATTTGAAATACAACCTGATTTGCGTCGTGTGAGGCGTTTTGGTCAAATGGATCTATACTATCTCACCTAACTTCTAAAAAAATTGTCATCTCTCTCGCATGTGTCGACCCTTTTTCATTTTATTCATTCATTCATTTTTCTGTGATTTCCTAAGCTCTTATTCCTTTTCTTTGTTTATTTTCTTATTATATATATCATTCTTAACCAATGTGTTTAAGACAATGCTTCCCTTTATTAATAATAGTTATTGAAGCAATTTCCATTCATTAAAAAGGAAGGTATTTAGTGTTTTTTTATTTAGTAATATTAAATGCTTTTTTTTTTTCATTTAGAAATTTTTTTACTTTAATGCCATAATTAATTCTACTAAGTTAACAAATGCTCTTTGTTACCTTTTTTAGAGGGAAATAAGATACTAGAGATTGGGCATTTGCCCATTTGCCATATTTAAAACTTGGCTTTCTCATTTAATTTTCATATTTAATTTTTTTTTTTCAATTTATCCAACACATTGGACTTTTTTTATTGACACGAACAAATAATTTTTTTTAAGTAAATCTATTATTTTATTTTATTTTTTTACTAATAGAATGACAACTTCAGATTTGGTTCATTATAATAGTATAGAAGATATAGGAAATATAATATATATTACAAACAAAAATATGCTGGTTCGATAGGTGAGATTCATAAGCCAATCTCGTTATTCTCTATTTTATTTTTATATTGGTAACAAAAATACCAATATAATAAATAGTTACCTGAGAGCTAAATGACTAAATCTAAATATGAACTTTTTTTAGTATACTAAATCTCAAAGACAATATTTGTGGTACTTCGTACAAAAAAAAAAAGACAAATTACCTTTATTAGTTTAGATAGTAAATAATTATCTTGAATAGCATGAATTGTCTTAAATACTCTACCATATTATAAAAAGAAATAAGTTTCTCTTTGTTATTGTAATATAAAAAGGCCAAAAATTGTTCCTCTACTGTTTCAAATTAGATATGAATATCCGAATATTTTCTAATACAAGGGAAACGAAATCATTTAAGTTATGTTATTCATGAATTCAAGCATTGCAATTTGCAGTTTTTGAGCAGTTGAATATAAATCTCCAGTTTGTAATACTGCACTTAGTTTGAGTTACTTCAGTTTGCAACTAGCATTGATGTCAATTAAGTAAGTGACATGCAATTACGTAATTGTCATTATAAGATTTAGACTAGTAAGTATTATACAAATAAGTAAGTTGACATTAAGAGATGAGAGGTTTGAATAATTTGTATTAAGTTGTATGTTCAATTCTAACTAATGTATCAAAAAAAAATTACGATTTAACAAAAGCTGTAAAAGACAAACTTTTAACTCAAATCACAATTTGAGAATTTATAAACAAAAAATCAAATACACTAACTCAAAATTTATTATCGTTAATCTCTTAAAATTGAATGCAAAATGTTTTTCTTTTCTTTTCATTTTTGAGTCCTTGAAGTGAAAATTTATTATGGAAATTGTTGTCATTATGCCTTTACTAGGGCTTGTGTAATTGTGTTGACACTGAACATATGTTGGGAGTTGTTCTTTCTTCAATGCTTGGCTCAAGTTCCAAAAGGTTTGAACTCATCATTTTGGTGCAAGGCTCAAGAGACACATCATTTGAGTGGTTCGATATCTCTCCATAATTGAAGATCTAGAATCATCTCCCTCCCCTATATAAGCTTATAGTGTGTGAGGTTTAGAGATATGAAAATGAGAAAAAGAATTTTGAATACCTCTAGAGAGAAGTTTGAAGTAAGATACCTCTTTAGGGAAGTTTGAGATTACCACCAGTGTAGGTGAAGTTTGATTGTACCTTTAGTGACTAGGGAAGTTTGACTGTTGTAACTCATTATTCTTATAGTGGAAGTTTGATTCTAGACTAGTGTCCCATGGATTTTTACTTCTTCACATTGGAGAAGGTTTTTCCACGTTAAACAAATTGTCTATGTTCTTCTCCATCTCTCTCTTCTTGCATTTTACTGTTTTGCTTCCGCAATCGACTTGAGGGTCCGACTTGACCCAATAGTGATCTCAGAGCCCGAGTTTGAAGGGTTTTGAAGGAGACGAGATGGAGACCGGTGAAATTTCACATGATGGAGACATGTTCGAGCTGACCGCGGATAACTTTACTTACTGGAGACCGATGATGGAAGACCATCTCTACTGCAAAGATCTATATGAGCCCATCATCCTTGAAGAGAGGCCTGAAGGCAAAACCAAGAAGGAATGAGAGATCCTGAGTCGAAAGGCGGTGGCCACAATCAGGAAGTATATTAATAAAAGCCTCTTTGAACACGTGTCAGAATTCACGAATGCGTACAAGTTGTGGACGAAGTTGGAGTCCATGATTCAGAAGAAGACTCCCAGGAACAAAGCATACTTGATTCACTGACTTGTGAAGTTGGAACACAAAGACGTGATGAGTATGATAGAGCACCTCAAAAACCTACAAAGGTATTGTGAACCAATTGTCCAAAGCTGAGATGAAGATTGATGATGAGATCCAGAGTTTGCTACTATTGAGCTCACTACCAGAAAAGCTGGGATACTCTGGTAGTTACTTTGAGTAATTCGACTCGTGATGGAAAGATGACTATGGATGCCGTGAAAGACAGCCTCCTAAATGAAGAGTCCAGGAGAAAGGAACGAGGTGTAACCAGCACATCTAAGGCAAACATGACCAAGAATAGAGGAAGGTCCGACGCCTAGGGTCGTAGCAAGAGCTGGGGACGTGACAAGTCCAGAGGGTTGGTCTAGGCCAAGATATGAGTTGAAGTGTTTCTATTATGAGAAGCCTGGTCACAAGAAGCCGGACTGCAAGACTCTGCAGAAAGAGTAGAAGAACGACATTGTTAAGCCAGATCAGATTATTACAAAGAAGAAAGAAGACAAGAGCTCCACTACGGTGGCTGCCAACTCGGATGCCAAGATATTTCTCCTCGGTGAAGACAATTATTTGAATGTTGCATATGATGATTGTACCTGGATTGTTGGCTCTGGTGCCTTCTTCCACGTTACTCCACACAAATGTTTTTTCTCCTCTTACCGAGGTGGTGATTTTGGAGTCGTGAAGATGGAAAATCAAGTGACAACAAGATTTTTGGTGTCGGTGATGTAACTCTAACCACGGATGTCGGGTGCCGACTTATGTTGAAAGATATAAGGCATGTTCTTGACATGTGA